CTTTCCCTCTCCTCCTTTCCTCTCTCCTTCGGTTGGATGCAGAGGAGCAGACCGCCTCCTGGGACCAAGCAGAGAACCCGCTCCACCGCACAATAATCGACCACCAAAGTCAACACAGCAGACAACAATTAAGAGGATTTAATGGAGAGGATTGGGTGACAGAGGCAGGTGGCCGTTCGGCCATAAGGGAAACCGAGAAATAGGAGAGGGGGAGTAGGGGGCGGAAGGTAAGTCGAGGGGGGGCGGGGTGAGAACAGAGAGAGAACCAGAGGAGAAAAAGGCCCTTGCCGGCGACCACCATGTCTCAGCTGTGGCTGACGCCTCCTTCCTTGCCCCGTCTTCTTCCTACGCCAAGCCGCCATAAATCCCGATTCCCTTTTTTTTACTTTTATTTGATTCGGGATCGTTTTCGCCGAGGAACCCGACTTGACGGCGTTCAGACAGCCAGCCATGACCTAAGTCATCTCAAGCTCGACTCTTAGCCGCCACTGCAGCAGAGCCGGGTAAGGCCTGTAATATTTGGGCCCATTAAAAAAACCCAGCCATGTCTCTTAAAAGCCCAAGCCCAGCCAATTTATTTCTGCTTCAACAAATGAAGCGCAGAAGCCAGCAGAATAAACGAAGAAAGCAGGAGAAGACGCACAACCGCGAAGAAGGAAAGAGGGAAAGAAGAGAAGAGAGAGAAATTGACACGCGTAGCCGACCCGGACACTCCATCCAGCTGAATCAACTATGAATTGCAACGCTTGGTAAGTATTACAGCCAATTGTTCGTCTAATCGAAGTAATTTTAGAAGTTAGGGCTCATATTTCGGAGTTATGTGTTATTCAAGTGGCGAAATCCGATTTTTGAGCCGTTGAGCTATGAATATATATAGAATTGGTAGTTTAGGGTGTTGCGGGGCTATGGGATTTTACGGAACCCAATTTGGACTTACGGTTTGCCAGGATATGAATTTTTGAAGTTGCGCGCGCGTGGTGAACAGTGCACGATCAGCGGCTTTTAAGCCGATTTTGGGTCGGCCAAGTTGGGGTTCTTGTAGTTCCTTGAATGGGCTTTCTTTTGACTATAGGCTTGCTTGGAACGGGATTCGGTGGAGGAAGTTATGGAGCAATCAAGTTTTGCGTTCAAGCTCCGCGTTGCGGACGGCTTTAGATAATCGCCTTGGACAAGCAATTTGTGGGCGCCTTTGACTTGTTTCGTTAGCAATTAAGCGTCGTTTAGCAGTTTCGTAGTTGTCGTAGTATTTTACTTGGTTTTGACGTCGATTCTCATTTAATTATTAGGATTACGAGATCGTCGGTTCGAGTGAGCATGGTTGTTTGGTTTTAGAGCATTCTCAGGTGAGTGGTACTATTTCTTCCATGAATTTATAAACTCGTGTGTTGAAAATAGTAGAGTTTTAATATAGTATAAGTCATTAAGAGCTTGTTTCTTGCATAAATTGGTTCGAACTTTTACTACCATATTAGTCGATTGAAAAGTTATTGAGAATGTTTTATGAAGTGGTCTAAAATGACCAATTGTGAATGTTTTGGTTAAATGTTTAGCGAAAGGAATTTCCAAAAATAGTTCGTATCGATTACCAAATGTTTTATGAAATGCATTTTAATTGATAAATGGAATTGTGAAAGGTTATGTGATTTGGTTTGTAAAACCGGTTTATGAAATAACTTTATGATGTTGATTGTGCGTTGTTGGAGAAATGTTTTGGTTGATATGGCTCATATTGTTATGATGAGAACCCATTAAGGGGGGAGTATGCATACTATCAGGACGTCGTTCTGGGTCAAACCGCCAGCTATATAGGTGATAGACCTAGCCAAGGGGGGTAAACTTGATCGCCTTTGTCGCGGCGTTAAACGTGACCATAGTTTGATGATGAGGATAAGATTAGTCGATGGAATAGACCATCGATGTGTGATTGATAAGATTAATCAATGGAATAGACCCTTGATGATTGTTTGTTATTGTTGAGTAAGTTTTGATGATTGATCTTGTAAGTATAGATTTTTATTGGAAAGTTATCATATATTTTCGATATTTTACTTATATCATATATTGAATTTGAGATGAGGAGTTATGATATCGTTTTATAACGATGGTAAATGTTCAATCCGTTTAGAAGAAATGTGTTACTCACTGAGTTGTGGTTGTTCACCTCATTCCATCCAATCTTTTCAGGTTCTTCAACTAGTGATGAGTAGTACGAGAGCGATATCCAAGAGGACTTTTGGGATTTGGCTTTTGGGTGGATTGAGGCTGCGTCCTTTGGGTGAAAGGACGGCCATGTCGTCCCCTCTTTTCCTAGGAATCGGGGTGTGACAAGGCCAGCGACCACCGCGCCCCTATTTTGCTCCGTCAATCCCCCTCTGTTTTGGCTTTATTTTTTATTGGCGGCTCGGACCGGAGCTCATGGCCGTCCAGCATACGCGGCTTCGGTCCCCGTTTGTCCCCTGCCTAACTATGGTTTGCGTCCTATTCATATGTTGAGTTTGGATCGGGTTTGAGCCTTGGTTGAGTAAAAAATCCTTCGTTTTTGGGAGCGCCCGTTACTTGTTTGTTGAAATGCCTCAATCAGATTCGGTTTTTGTTTTCTCATTTTAGTCAAGGTCGAGTTGAGCCGGTGACAACACGGGCGGAGGAGCAACACTGGGTTCAGATCACTGTTGCGAGGCAATGGTGGCTCGGGCGTCGGCGTGCGGCCGCCGCAGGTGAAGCGCCGCAAGCACCAAGGAGAAGTCCGCGAGAGGCAGGGGAGTCGGATCTGCAAGGGGTGCAAAGTCGGGTTGGCTGAGATGGGGCCAGGGCCATGCCGGAAAGGAGAGTCAATGACAGTCGTGGACGCCGGTGCCTCTCGGCGGCCCAGCGAAAGCCGGCCGAGCGCAGCCCCACAGAACAGAGCAGAGTCGTTAGGTGTGTGAGGGTCGGAGGCCGGGTCAGAGTCAAAGCCAGGTCGAGCGAGGAGCCGCACCCGATTCTTCCGTTTTTTGTTTCTCGAGCTAGGCTCAAATAGGATAGTGGGCCATTAGGTTTGGGCTAGGCCTTCCGTTTTAGTTTTTTTTAGGTTGGATGGACTGGGCTCGTTCTTTAAGCCTAGTCCTGCGTGTACCCGAGCCAGTGAGCCCAGTTGGTCCCGACCCGGTTCATATGTGGAGATCCGACCTGGGTCCGTTTATATATTATTATAATATAATAATATTATTTTAATATAGAAATATTATTTTTTTAAAAAAAAAAAATTAAAACAAAAAATTTTCGAAAATTCAAAAAATGGAAATTAGGCTTTGAAATTGCCCCTTCTTGCATGTTGTGTGTGATTAATGCCATGCTTAAATGCATGTTGGTTGATTCGCATGCTAGAATTGCGTATTTAATTCGACCTTGCATATATCCAATTAAAAGCATGTTAGGCATTTGTTTGCGTACTTTCGATGTATTGATTGTCATTTCCTTAGCCTGGTTAGGATGAAAACCCTAGGATCCACAATCGATAGGAAGACTGCACGAACACATTTAAATGTTAAATGAATAGGATAAAAGATAATGAAAAGACACTAATTATTCAATTAATGTAACCAAGTTCCCGAACTCATTTAATTTCTAGTTCGTAGGAGTAGAGTGATTCTCCCGTCACCTTACTTGAGTTCTTGATCAATCCACCCAAAATTAATTAATGACGACTTCTAAATAAAAATCACTTGCAGGTTAAAAACCTAAACCTAAGTCGCGATATGGTATGGGCCTGGGAGAGCCCGAGTTAAGTCCCAGACCTAAACTGAGCGCGTACCAGACGAGACCCCCTTTTGTTAAAACCCGGAGGTTGGTCGCGACATCTCCGCAACAGCAATAATTATCCAATTCATTTTTGTCAAAATTTCCTTTTTTCTTTTATTTTATGCTCACGCAGGTACCATTTTGATGGTAATGTAAATTTCCATGTAGAAAATAAATAATCGGTCTTTTTAACCACATAATTATAAGCACTTCTTTTAATATCTCAGTAAATGTAGTACGAATCAAAAGTCTTACAATCAACTGCTCCTATTGGAAGAAAATGTCTTATTTCCATGGCAGAATAGTTCTATTTACAACAATAAACAACAAAAAGAAATTGCTAAAAACCAAACAACCATAGGAGGAAAGTTCTTAAAGTTAACCTAAAAGTCAAACCCTAAACTTAAGGGATGTTGACCATTAAGCTCACTATAATCAGTAAACTAAACTAAAGGAACTTTGAGGACCCATCATGAAGGTGAGGGAAGGTACACTGTACTTCCTAGTACTATGTTCCCAAATGTATGTACATGTACTACTTAGTTTCCTAGTGTGATTAAATGCGGTGAAAGTGTAGATCTTCTTCACACACTTTCTTCTTCTTTGATCATGGCACATCATGCTTCTCAATCACCTCCCACTCTTATGGCATCAGAAGGTAAGCTTTTTGCCTTGTTTTCCACCGGTTCAATTTCTTGTGTTGCCCTATCTCACTTATTCATGTTGATGTCATGTGGTACAGTCGATATGTCCTTAAGTGATGCGCTCACATGCAAATCCCATATGTGCAGCACATACAACTTGCCCATCACGCAGATAGAGAGGCCCCGGATCGTGCATCATGGCTTCTCACTCATCATACCACGAAAGTCCCACATAAAGTCTGCAATGAATTGTGATTTATTATTAGGATATCTATCTTAAACCAAATCAGCACACTCGCAGTACTATCGAACTCAACATCATCTTTCGACAAAAAAAAAACCTCAATATCATCCAAAAGGGCTTAAGCACTGAATTTATGGTTCTCTATTCTTCATTTTTTGCCGAGTGGGTCGATGTCTCATGCGTTTTGAGTGATCCATTTGCACTTATTCAATTTATAATTTCATGAAAGATTACACTTCTTTTTTGTCAATTAATTTTTTCATATGATCAACCTTTCTTTTGTCACGTGGAATCCATTTTGTCAGTAATTCAACTCTAGGCATGTCTGAATCAATAATTGCGTTACATATATACAACGTGCGCACATAATAAAGTAGAGGATGCTAAACATTATGACATGATTTTGTGCACTAAGTGATTTGGAGGGAAGCAAAAGGTGGTCCATGTCCAGCTGATAGCGAGGAGATCCTTCTGGGTAGAAAAAGGAGATTTTCACAAATTAATTAATCATTTTTTTACTTAATTATTTGCATAACTTTTGCTTTGATCTATGGGGTTGGAATCAAGCTAATTGACGCACCTTCCAAACGTGTATTAGCGGGTAGCAACTTCTAGACATCAGATGATCATTCGATCCGACAAAGAACACTAACGTTTTAACGCTTATCTTAGTATAACGCCACGTGTCATCATTAGTGATAATGCTAGAGAAATCTCATTGCATGGATGTTTCTACATATCATGTAGACCGACATCATCTCAATCATCGATTGTCAAGCCCACATCATCAATGGTAGAAATGGAGTCGGTCTACACTGTCATGCAATATTTCGTATTGTTAGAGTCAAGAGTAGGACTATTTGATCTCTAGACAGTAAAACCCTAGTTGGCCTTCTCGGATCCGGTTCTTTCACGCACTGTTGCTTGTTAAAGTTATATTCCCTCTTACTAATTCATAAATACATTAAAAAAAAAACTTAAACGATCTTTTTGTTTTCTGGCCAGTAAAAACTTGGACTGACAATCATTGGCATCTCAAGTTACGCTAAAACGTGGTCCATATAGCAAATATATAATTATTACATGCAACGAACATGGTCAATTTGTACTTCGTCGGGGCCACGGAGCATTATGATCAGTTAAAGAACAAGATCACTGCCATGTATGCGATAAGTTAATCTAGTCCACCATTGCAGTGATTGACAGGTTGGCCATGTCGCGCTTATCTTCTATTGCCCCCCCATCACCTGCATTGTTTTTGTCTTCGCGTTCTTATCATCAATCGATAGTAGTGTCGGCCACATAATTGTGGACGACGGTCTTCACGAAATGCGAGATTCTAATTAAGTCATAAAAATATAATTTCCTGTGAATATAAATAAAAAATAATTCCTTGCAAATTATAGAAATTTGTAGCGTTTTCGTGAAAATTTCTATTTTAGTTGAATGGGATAAGTACATTGAAAGTCGTAAAACTTTTCACAAAAATGTAATTGAGTCTTAAAACTTTAAAAAAGTGTAATCAAGTCCTAAAATTTGTTACAAAAGTGCAATTTATTCCCAAAACTTTTGAAAAAGCAATCAAGTCCTATAATTTATGAAACTTGTCCAATAAAATCTCTCCATTAATTGCACTTTTTGAAAGTTTTACGACTCGATTGCACTTTCGCAACTACTTTTAGGATTTGATTGCGCTTTTTGAAAGTTTTAGAATTCGATTGTACTTCGATTGTACTTTATAAAAGTTTTAGGACTCATTGTTCTTTAGTAATAAATTTTAAGACTTTCAGTGCACTTATCCCCAGCCGGACCAATGGAGTGGGTTGCTATTACCGTATTTGAAGTAAACTCCAGTTTGATAGAGATGTTTTATTATTATATACACTATATAATAAGCTCCGGTATTTGTTTTTCCGTTTTGCCATGATAACAAGTTCCATTGGCCTACTCTACTTTTGAATTTTTCTTGGTAGTGCGTTGACTAATTGTAAGCTAAGCCGTTGTTTCCCGTTTGTGCTCTAGAACGTTGTGTGTATACGAGGAAAATATGAAGTTCTAATCATGGCGCTTGTAAGTGTGAAACGATGTCCTGTGCTGTGCAGGGAACATGGCGATTGAAAAATGGTTGCTTGAGGAGTGGACTAACAGGCCTATGAAATGGTGTCGAAATACACTAGGAAACTTCCGCAGGATAGCATCAATTTAAGAAAAGTGTTTACACGCCTCGAGCACATTCATTCGGTTTTGTTTTTTTCCCACATTCTTTCGTCGATTCGCCGGTAGAAGCAGATCTTCGACGAGTGAGATTGTTTAACATGCAACGTAAAATGTTCCCGTCCTCCCAAACTGATAGTCATGTGTCAAAGTTCATCGGTTTGGTAGAGAATAGAGAGAATTACACAATACATAGTATGTGATGATTCATTTGAATGGATTGTCGGTGTCGGGCAATCGTGAGCGTAAAACTTTTCTTAGGGAGGCGTAACTTTTGGATCTATAAAGAAAAATTATTTGTTTTCATTTTTAAAAAGCAATAAAAACAACCCTTTTTTTTCCGTCAAAATTTAATGTTCTATACATTGACTTTTGAAATTATTAGCATCAATCATGCGGTTCATACAATTTCCGTATCCCTTTCATCTTTAATGGTAGGTCATGAAATTTTCAGAATCAATCGGTATATGTCCCTTCATGGCTTTTCTTTGTCGGATTGATTTTCTTTTTGATTCTTTGGAATTGTTATGCACCAATATTCATACCGAAAAATTGACATTTCGGCAACAGTTTTGTACCTGAGCATTTAAGTCGGAAATCACCACGCAATCAGCGGAAAATTGGATTATTTTCACAACGGTTTTGAAAAGTTCATCGGGATATTAAAATCACGCGACAACATTTATGTCATTAACTTAAATTACTGGAAAAAAAATCGTCTTTAGCGTATATAATGCAATGTTAATCGGCAATGCTCTCCATGTTTTTGGCATGTTTTGTTGAAAAATATCCCAAGGAAATCACCCCATTCTGTAGAAGATTCACTGCCTGTCGGGGGGGTCCAATTTCATTTTGGTAAAGGAAAGTTTGACCTATATGCATCTCGTCTAATCATGTAGATTCCAGCTATTATAAAGGTGCAGGGCATGTGCAACTTGCAAAACAAATCATAAACACACCGACCAATCCCTAGTCAAATATCTGGACCCAAAAAAAGAAAAAAACCTTAGTAAAATTAATGGTGAATTCACACCGCGTGATTATTATTCAAATCACGTAGTCACCTGCTCGAACATATATTTTTTCTCGGGCTATCGCAATAGTCTCCGATCTGGATCCACTTTGTATGCTTATAGTCATGTGTCGAGAGCATGATCGGAAAAGAGATTTCATACACGTATTGGTTGTTTCGCGAAGGAATTGAGACGAGCTTGGTCTAGGTGCAACGGCACAATATGGATCTCATAGAAAATTGGAAGGAGTAGGCATGACTATAAGCCATTGTTTCACATTGGAAAAATAAACCAGATTTGCTTTTACATTCCAGAAGAACAGACTGTAGGCCACGAAAATGGCACGCCCAGGATCACCATAATCAGAAATCGAAACACGATAATGGAGAAATTGTAGATTCGCGTACCTGGTTTGGAATCCATCGAACTTGACGCGGAATTTGCGACGGTTTCCGAACACGAACTCAAATGCTTCTCCCCTATCCCTTCGTTAGAACACTGGCCTAATGAGATTGCCACTCACGAGAAGAAAGTTCTCTATAAATCCGTATGTGAGTCAAATTGTGCATCATCGGGTTAGGGGAGGGACTTGAGCGCTATTTATAGAGTCTTCGACCACGGGCCTCTCATTGGGTCGGGCCGTACTCGGCCCACACCCCAGCCCCATATTAGACTTATTAAGAACCCATATATCTTACCTTTATTAGACCAAACTAATTCAGTTAATTTCAATTAATGAAGCCCACATTAGGAAATTCTTACATTCTCCCACTTGGGCGATATTAATTGAAACAGAACTGTGTGCGCACCCTTATATTGGTCTAGAGATTATTCTTAATAGTCAATCCGATCCCATAAAGTCTCGAACACCGAATCATGGCAGTAACTGCATGTACTCACGCAGAGCCTTCCATGGTCACGAGTGCTTTTAACTTTACTGATATGGATTCAATATGGTAGTGTGTCAAATGGACAATACCTCATAATGAGTGATACTTTATGTGTTGTCCACTTTGTTAGTCCAAATTCTCTCTCCTTAAGTGTCACAAAACCTAATGTGTCACCAGAGAATATCCTTCATGGTTCCAACGAACCTTCATATGTCTTACCTTGATAGTTAACTATACTTTATGTGTAACAAGACATATCGTTAAGGCTAATACTAAGAATGCCCCATAGCCTGTACTCAAGGTTTACACAATGCCTCGAGATTTTCATCAAATATGTATACTCAACTTGATAAATCTACATTCACAAATACCTCATTGAATGCAAAAGAGTTGATATATATTCAAATATTACAAAATGTAACAAAATCAGATACAAACTTCATAAGAGCAACATAAAACTAAACAGCTCCCACTAATTAACAGTATCCCATGATACTCCTAAGCCCATGTTAATGACATGTCGATCAAATACACAAGGGCGAAAGCCTTTAGTTAGCGGATCTACAATCATATCATCTGTTGAAATGTGCTCTACTGCAATGTCACCATCCTGAACTTTTTCCTTTATAGTCAAGTACTTGACCTCCATATGCCTAGACCTCTTGAGACCTCTGTTGTTGTTAATAAACAATACTGCAGAGTTATTGTCACAATACAGCTGTATGGGTCTATCCACAAAATCAAATACGATCAACTCCTTAATGAGGTTCCGGAGCCAAATTGCCTGAGTAGCGGCCGAAAAGCATGCTACAAACTCCGCTTGCATGGTAGAGGATGTCATTGATTTCTGTTTCTCACTTTTCCATGATCTCGCACCTCCCGCTAACTTAAAGATGTAACTGTTGTCGACTTCTTTTCATCCCGACACCAAAGAAAGTCCGAATCCGAATACCCAACTAGCTGTAGGTCCCGAACATGTTTGTAAATCAACATATAATCTTTTGTCCTCTTTAAGTACCTCAAAACCTTCTTGGCAGCAACCCAATGATCGTGTCCTGGATTTGACTGATATCTGCCTAGAAGTCCTGTTGCAAAAGCAATATCTGGTCTAGTACATACTTGAGCATACATAATACTCCCAAGTGCACTAGCATAAGGTACATTCTTCATTTGGGCTTCTCAAAATCTGAATGAGGACATTGTGACAGACTCAACTTATCACCTTTACTGACAGGAGCAATTCCTGGCTTGCATTGTTGCATGTTGAATCTTTCTAAGATACGATCAACATATGCCCTCTGAGATAAGCCCAATAGTCGGCGAAAACGATTCCTATGAATCTCAATGCCAAGGACAAAAGACGCCTCACCAAGGTCTTTCATATCAAAGTTCTTTGACAACATCCGCTTTGTCTCATGCAGTAAACCAAGGTCACTGCTTGCAAGCAGAATATCATCAACATAGAGTATAAGGAAAATGAATTTCCTCCCACTGACCTTGCAGTATATACACTGATCTACTCTATTCTCAACAAAACCAAATGAAGCGACAACACTATAAAACTTCAAGTACCATTGTCTAGAAGCTTGCTTGAGACCATAAATAGACTTTTTCAGTCTACATACAAGCGTACCTGAATCATCTGCCGCAAAACCTTCGGGTTGCATCATATAGACTTCTTCATTAAGGTCTCCATTGAGAAAAGCAGTTTTAACATCCATCTGGTGTAACTCCATATCGAAATGAGCTACCAATGTCATGATCATTCTGAAAGAATCTTTCGAAGAGACTGGAGAAAAAGTTGCTTCATAGTCTACTCCTTCTCTCTGAGTGAAACCCTTGGCTACCAGTCTGGCTTTAAACTTCTCAATCTTTCCTTTGGAGTCCCTTTTAGTCTTATACACCCATTTGCAGCCAATGGGTCTATGACCTTCAGGTAATTCAACAAGTTCCCAAACTCCATTATGCTTCATAGACTGCATTTCATCTCTCATTGCATCCAACCACAGTTCCGACTGAGGATAAGAAACAGCTTCCATATAAGTCACTGGATCAACTACAGAACCAATATCGTAGTCTTGCTCTCCTATATAGACTAAATAGTCTGGTGGTATAGCTGATCGTCTCTCCCTAATGGATCTCCTTACTGGAGCAGCAACAGCCTCATCCCGCACCTGAGAGCCTTGAGGAACTTCATTAGGAGCTGCCTCGACAATAGGGTCCTGAGCCTCAACAGGTTCAGTCTGTGGTGTGAGAGTCTCCACAATTATCTATATGGGAGGAGATAAAGATACAACATTACCCACCATACTATTATCCTCGATAGTCTGTGAGCAGCTACTTTTTTCGGCCACATCAAACTCCAGAAACTTGGCTGTATGTGATTCCACAATTCTTGTGCCTCCATTGGGATTATAGAACCGATATCCCTTCGAATGATCAGGGTAAGATACAAAGTAACACCGAGTGATTCTGGAGTCCAACTTACTTAATGTTGGATTATATAACTTCACTTCTGCAGGACATCCCCAAACCTTAAGATGGTTTAAGCTAGGCTTACGTCCAAGTCCATAACTCAAAAGGAGTCAATGGAACAGCTTTAGTAGGTACACGATTCAAAATGTACAAAGCTGTTTTCAAAGCTTCACCCCACAGAAAACCAGGTAAATTTGTCCGACTAATCATACTCCTCACCATTTCCATAAGGGTGCGATTGCGCCTTTCGGCTATACCATTTTGCTCAGGACTCCCAGGCATAGTGAACTAAGCCACTATCCCAGAATCCTCTAAGTATTTGGCAAATGGCCCCTTAAACTGTTCGGCATCGCCATGCTTGCCATAATACTCTCCACCTCGGTCAGATCTAACAACCTTTATGACCTTTCCCAACTGTTTCTCGGCTTCAGTCCGAAAAATCTTGAACTTGTCAAGAGACTCAGACTTTTCTTTAATCAAGTACAGATAGCCATATCGAGAATAGTCATCAATAAATGTAATGAAATAAAAATTTCTACACAAGGTTGCCGTATAGGGTCCACTTATATCGGTGTGAATGACCTCCAACAGGTCAGAACTTCGGACTGTAGTTTTCTTCCTTATCTTGGTCATTTTACCTCTACAACAGTTTACGCATGTCTCTAAGTCATCTTTAAGAGCAGGCAGGATGTTAGTCTTTATCAGCCTTTCTACTCTATCTTTAGAGATATGACCAAGCTGTTTATGCCACAATGCATAAGACTGTTCCTTAGGTAGTGGTCTCTTAGAAACAACCTTTTCAGCCGTATAAGCGACGTATATGTCATTGGGAGACAAACACAATCTGTACAATCCATTGGACATATAACAGCACCCAACCTTATTTGAATTAAGAAACAAAGAAATAACATTGTTCTTGATTTCAAAA